TGGCACATTGCTGGCAATCAAATTCTACGAAAAAGAGTCCCTGTTGTTTGTAACCGCTTTTTTATTTTCCCTATCTGTGTGTGTGACAGTTTCCTAAACAGAACAGTTGGTTACCGTGGTTCCTCTGGGATTACTCGAATCCCTCAAACTAGTTGCCGTGACTAATTCAAATTTATTAGTACAACAGATCTCGCACAGTTCTGATATGATACTTTCTGTTAGTTCCAGATGCGTATTTCAATCAGTTTGTTGTGCCTATAAACATATTTTATGGATAATTTAGTCTATCGTCTGAGCAGGGTAGGAGAGGGAATTGGACCACAAGCCATACACTGAAGAAGATGCAGACCAAAGCATTGTTTCATTCAAATGTTCGGGCATACGATAATACAGGTTCTATGAGAGTGGTTATTTCAGGTTCGTTGTGCGAACAATTGCCAACTTTATTGTCATGGAAAAAATTGTGCAGTTAGAGCGTTCAACCGTTTCAGGGTGTTTTAAAAACCATTAGGTTAATAAAAGTCCTAATAAAAACATCGCTGACGCGTGATAATAAACAAGGAAAATGACGGACACATTTGTGGGTATCTATGACAAAAAAATCACCACAGATGATTGAACGAAACGACTGCTACTTTTATGCACGTCAAACGTTAAATTCGCCTTCCTCGGACAAGGATATCGACAGGCGGTGGTGGCCCGGTGGTAACGTCACCAATTATCACCCCGGAGGACGAGTGTTCGAATCTCACCACCACCGCCTGACTTTCCCCACTTGTTTGTTGTATGGCAGCCCTCTGATTGGCCGCTTCCCTCTTCCTGAAAATGGTATCCTTGTATATTCAATAAAAGGAAGTAAAATGAAAAAGAAAAGAAAAGATAGATGGTGTCGCCATGGGTAGTTCGCTGGGACCGATTCTTGCGGATATTTTTCTTGGTCACCTAGAAGGGCAACTTGAAGAAGATATTTCAAAACTATATTTACACTGTCGTTACGTTGATGACGTCTTCTTTATAAGCCAAAAGAAGGAAGACGGGGAAAACCTATTTAATCGACTCAATAGCATTCACCCCAACATCAAGCTAACTCGTCACGATGAACAGGACGATCGCATCGAGTTTCTAGATATAAACATTATTCTTCGACCAGATGGATCAATTAAAAGATCTATCTTCCGGAAGAACACTTGGTCTGGGCAATATTTGTACTTCACGAGTTTCGTCCCCGTGCGATACAAAATTGGTCTCGTTCGCACACTCTTTCATCGAGCGCGTGAACTATGCTCAGAGGACTCTCTAAACGACGAAATTAACCTCCTAAAGGATGTTCTGTACGCGAACGGATATCCACTTGCATTCAT